AAAGCGGCAGCGGTAAATGGAAATCTCTTGCCCCAAATGATTGGCACCTTAAAGGCAGTGGGCACGATCGCTTCGGGTGGGCAATCGTCACCAGCGTCATTAATGGAAGGGCTGAGTGTAGAGTGGCCAGACACCATTCGCAGTCCCTCCCCACCAATGACGCTAGCAACAACGGTCCGCCCCCACCAGTTGTGCCCATTGTTAGACAACCAGAATGAGCTCGGCTTAGCGCGAAAGAGAAGAGCAGGTGGCGTATCTGCGCCTTGACGACCGATAATGTGAACTGTTCTCAAGAGGCCTCTCAAATAAACCCTACAAATCCTCAATACGACCCCTCCCCATCGGAGTGGATTCCATGATGAAGCATTGTTTCAGGTCTGTCGATCCCCAAGCAGGAGTTCGGTGTTGCCACTACCCTAGCTGATGTGTTCGGTTACCAGCCAGTCGATGGTATCCTCGGACTCGGATGGCCAGCACTTGCCGTCGACAAGGTTATTCTTGTCCCATGGGAACTTTTCTCGGAGCTTCTAGCGTTCTACTGCTTTAGAAAGACTTTTTAGGTCGTCCCACCCATGCAGAACCTGCTCAGCAGCCTTGACCAGCCTTTGTTCACCGTCTGGTTGGACAGAAAAGTGAGTTTTCGCGTTGACTAGTCCTTTTGGACAGAAAAAAATTGAGCGCCTTTTCAGCTGACCATCAGCCAAGGAGGAAACGCCGGTCTCATCACCTACGGAGCTATCGACAAGGTCAACTGCCAATCCCAGATCAACTACGTGCCACTCTCAGCTGAGACCTACTGGCAATTCCCCATTGACTCTTTCACCATTGGAAGCTTCTCTGATACCAAGAAACAGCAGGTGAGTCCCACGAAGATCTTCCCTTGCTCTGGACGTAGATAGAAAAGGGTTCTTCTAGGTTATCTCTGACACCGGTACATCCTGGATCGGAGCCCCCACCACCGTTGTCAGCGGTGTTGTCAAGCAGACTGGTGCCAAGTATGACTTCTTGAACGAGCTCTACACCGTCGACTGCAGCACCCAGAAGACCCAGCCAGATCTCGTCTTCACCATCAATGGAGTCAAATACAACGTGCCCTCGGTTGAGTACGTCCTCGACCTTGGTCTCGGAAACGGAAAGGTTCGTTCACTTTCTCTAAGTTTTAGATCCAGGTTCTGTTGCCCTCTTCGCTGAGTGTGTGAACATTAGGTCCGGTTTTTGGCCGCGAGAACATGCAACTTTGAACTCACGGAATTTCGAAAAGAGTTATGCATTTGCAATTTGATAAAAGATACACCACTCTTGGTGCAGTAGTAAAGAATAACTCGCACGTATCACTCGCGTTGCGCGTGGCGACGTGCGACTAGTCGCGCGGCTAAAAACGAACCTAAGACCATGCAATCGTTTCACTCCTACTGCCTTGCTATTCTGACCTGTTGAATCAGTTCAGTGCCTTTTAAATCCTTCTTCGGCATGGACTCTGGCGGTTTCGGCCCATCCTGGATTCTTGGTGACACCTGGATCCGAACCTATTGCAACATCTACGATATCGGCCAGAAGCGAATCGGTTTCGCTAAGGCCAACCACTCCGGAATTTAAGAAGGATGTCTATTGTAATATAAATATAAATAGTTGTAAACTATATCTCCTTTTCTGTGATGGAATAATCGGAGACACTTCACAACGGATTCATGTAG